GACAATCGATAACCGATCATGAGGAATCCGCCGTCGTCTTCTGGTAGGATAGATCTTCTAATCTTTTCATCAGACACTTTCATGCGAAATGAAAGTAAGCTCAACAATGTAGAAGTTTTGACAAGTCCTACTCCTGTGTGATCAAACTACATAGTAAATATGGCAATATCTGGCAAGTCTCTTCCGACTCCCATCTTTTACATTATCCTTTAAAAAATTATTATTACATTAAGTCACTTCTAGAGTAATTTAGTCTTCCTGATATTTACTTTTCTTTCGAAGTCACAAATTTTTCGGCTCACCATTGCTAAGTTGGGCTCATCAAGTTCGTTACTATGTGATCTTCTTTTAGCTTATGTAGCGCTTACCAGTGTCTAAGTTGGCGAAATTTCTCTGGTATTCACCGTTTGGGGCTGGTGATCAACTACCTGATGGCGTGCAAAAATGAAGCTGCCTCGACTTTATGCCGGATTCCGAACAATGTTTTGCAGGGACTTATTCAAACCATTTATGTATAAGTTATGTGACTTTTACTGTTGATGTCATAGCAATTTTCGGATATATCTGAACTGCTAAAATTCTATTTAGGGAATAAGAAGAGATATTAGGCAATGTTTCTTAGGTTTTACCTAGATCGAATGAAATAAGCTTATACTTTTTTTCTAGATTAGGTAGTACTTTTTACACTGGATTTATCTATATTTTACCAACTAATCTTATTTAATATACTTATCTTTTCAACTACCTGCTCATTAATCCCTAAACGGATTCATTTACAGGACAGGTCACAGAGCGCCACATTATGCAGTTTACCTCTGCATACATCAACTGCTGCCGCACCAACGACCTATTTGGGTCACAGCTATCCTATCGCAGGCAGCAACGACTTTTCTGGTCACTCCTATCTAAAAACTCCCAACTCAGGCTCTTCGGGTCAACAAGAGCCATATCAGGTTGGTTGCCCGCTAGTTACTCATAGAAGTAATCCACAACCGTATGTACATATTCCGATAAAGTCAAACCGGCCTCAACATCATTCTATTGCTACTGGTCAGCCATCTTTCTACCTTCGCCACGATGGCCCTTCCTGTGTATACAGCCCCAAACTTTCTAAAACCACCTATTCTACATCCGAATTCCCTGTGACTGGTTCCATAATGCCATCTGAAACGCAGAGGTCAGTTTCATTTGAAGGGGATCTGCCTCCTCCGGTGCAAGCCATCTCCACGAGCAACCAAAGTGGAATCTGGAAGAGCAGAGCTAACGGTGACTTTTCTGGCCGCCTGATTGAAGGCTACTTAGATGCCGATGCTAGCCAGGATACTGACGTCGACAGATCGGCTTGCACTGAGTTGAGTCAGGTTTCTCAGTCGTTCTCACGGAGATCGCAGGCATATTCTTTGATGACAGATTATGAAAATGGGGCTAATATTGATGCAAGTAGGACGCTTGTAGCCACGTCATTGGCAATTGCCAAGCAACCACAGAAGTTACGCCACCGTAAACGAGCGGAGACAACAGCGATGGCTTCAGAATTATCATCCTCAACAGCTTTGACATTAGCGCAATCGCCATTCCTGCTAGAAGAACGCGATAAGACCGCTGTTGAAGAGGAAGCCTTAGGAGGTATTTGCCGATCAATTGAGTACCGCCGTTCCACTGAGCCGGCAGTCTCGTCTCTGGAATTTGGTGAGTTCTCGTACTCGTAATGTTTGCTTTGACGCATGACACCTAACTCGTAGTGTTTTTATTCTTTTTTTACTTGCCTATTACAGTGCATTGATTAACCCCTTCTAATCTCCCATTTAATTAGAGGCTTTAATTCAGATTTTGCACTATTAAT